AAGAAAAAAAAAAACCTTAGCCGGCTTAGCCAGCTAGCGATGGCTCGGCTCGGCTCGGCTCGGCTTCACGACTTATGAATAGTGCCCCAAACTCACTCTTTTTATTACGTAGGAGTTAGGAGTAGGATAGGATAGCATAGGATATTTAAGGAAAAGTATTACAATGAGAAGCCTTTTTGGAGTAAACAGTATTGAAACAGTTATAAACAAGTACCGCTGAAATAATGAATAGTGCAATTCCATCCTCTATTTTAAGGGCATGTAGGATATATAAATTAAAATGAAAATACAATTGGGGATAAGGAAAAATGACAAAATTAAGCCGGAGATGAGCAAAGCAGTTGAACGATTTCAACAAATCTAGATTACACAGATCCTTTGTCCATCACACAAGGGTTGTATATGCACATACACCCTTTTAATACAAAGCAAAAGTCCCATTTCCTCAATTTTATAACATAAGCATGTTTAATTAACCAACACAAATTATTTAAAAGCACAATTTATTTAAAATAAAACGACCTTGCAGGCAATTTCAATTTCAGTTGCTGCTGTTGGTTTCTTCAGCTAAGTTTGCCTCCTGTGTTTTGCTCTGGGACCTTTCTTTCCTCATTGATTCACTCATTGATTTCCATCCTTTGACTGTCGTAATCGCACGTTTACGTTTCTGGAATCCCATATTTTGGTTCGAACCCAATCCAAGAGCGCAAAAAGTCATTACACGTGGCTCTTGAGCCAACCAGAATCCAGGAATCTTTTCCATTGCCTTTAATTCCTCAGTTGATAAATAAGCAGCAAAACCTTTAAACACAAAATCGTAGGCAAAATGCATGCGAGATTCCTCACCTGCTGCGGTTTTGGGCAAAAATGTTTGATAGTAGCTAAGCAGATCTTCTGAGGAACCGGTAGGTGGAGCAACGTGAACAATATATGGTTTCAGATTACTGTTGCATAGGAGAAAAACAAAAGAAAAGTAAGTATACAGAAGAAAGTAAGAAACTGCAAGAAACCCATCATTCTTTGTGATTGCTGCAAAAGAAAGTAACATGTATGCAATGCAATGAAGTTCAGATGGAGGTTTCCAGGATTAATAACAGGAAACCCCCCTGCAATTGGCTGCCAAAACTTTATTTTTTACCAGCCATTCACTCCATATTTGCTTACTCCACCAGCTGTCCTAAATTTCCAACACAAAGTGCATATGTCCGCAAGAAAATACCAAATAGGTATGTATTTTCTCTCCATAGATTTTAAACATATAAATCAAGATAAGGGCAAAAATCCCATAAAAAGGGGGACTTGACCTAGTTTTCATACACACACAACTAGATGGAAAAATGTTAGAACCCTAGACCCTAAATTATTGAGCAAAAAAATGAGGGGAATTGATCGGATAAATGCCCTGTTACAGGACGAGTTAATTTTGGTAATTTTCCTGCACCTGGATTCGAGCCGGTATATCTGCTCTCTGGTAAGCAAGGGGGTGTTGATGAAGCTCCGCCATGCTGGTTCCTCCGCCGGTCCCCACGTCTTAATTGACCTACTCGCCCGCCGGTTTATTAATGCTCGGAACATGTTCATCGACGAGAGCATCTCAGTTTCGTCCCCTCCCAAATCTGCAAGGAACCAAAATCAGACTCTAAAGCTGATGCTATGAGCCGCTTAACCCTAACTTTAGGGTGGATGTCTTGGGCCGGGTCTGGGCCAACACTTATAGGCCTTCTTTCTTTTGGGTCAGTTCCTTATTTTATTGTAGAAATTACACAACCCCCTACTTTAAGTATTCAACATTCTAAAATCAAGTGAAAAGTTTAGGTTGCGATATTTTATTGTAGAAATTACACAAATCCATACTTTAAGTATTCAGCATTCTAAAATCAGGTGAAAAGTTTAACATTTCAAAAATCAAATATTTTATTTTAATTAGTATTTTTATAAAATAAATATTTTTACTAAATATATATACTTCAAACCCCATTCTCCTAATAAACTTTTGTTCCCATCTCTCTCTCTAGACATCCTGTGAGCCGCTGCAGTTCGTCGGAGCTCATTCACCGGAAGACGTCATCGAGTACTGCGATGCCACTGCCCGTGGGGCTCTCTCTCTCCTCTCTCTGTGAGCCGCTGCAATCCGTCTACTAAGCTCTTCACTACGAAAAGGCACAACCGAGCACTGCGATGCCGCTGCCCGCGGCTCTAGTAGCCACTACGCGATGACGCCTCTATTGGTTTGTAGCGGCGTCGAAAGGCGATTTGTGTGGTTTGTGTTGGACGCACTCAAGGATCAAGACCAAGTCTACTCTCCTATTTTTTTAGGCCTTTTAGTTTTGTAACAATTCTGTAACAATTTTTAGTTTCTGATAGTTTCTGATCACTATGTTTGTTAATTAGTTTCCTACTTTTTCTGTATATTTTAAATTTAAAACTTCCTTGTAATCTACCTATATATTATGACGTTCATTGAATGAATAACCAAGTTCAAAATCATTACTTCTTCTCCTATCTGCTTGCCATTTTTCACATGGTATCAGAGCAATAATTTTTTTTTACCATGTCTAATGTAAATCCTACCACCAACATCACACCACCATCATCATCTCCACAGTCATCCATACCTATCAAAACAGATCCTTATGCTATTCATCACTCAGATAGCCCTTCTACTGTCCTTGTTACACCTCCATTGACAGGAGACAATTATGGCCCATGGAGTCGTGCAGTGACAATGGCACTTCGTGCAAAAAGCAAGCTGGGTTTTGTTGATGGGTCACTTCCAATTCCACAGGAGACAGATGATATTTCCAATTGGGAACGATGTAATGATTTGGTTGGAAGTTGGATTCTTAATTCAGTCTCACCTGAGATCCGTCCAAGTATCTTGTATGCTGAAACTGCTGCACCAATTTGGACAGATCTTTAGGATCGTTTTTCTCAATCAAATGCCCCTAAGATCTATCAATTGAAACAATCAATCTCTTCCCTCAAGCAGGAAGGTATGTCTGTTTCATTATATTTCACACAACTCAAATCCTTATGGGACGAACTCAGTTCCATTATCTGCATCACTCATGTATCTGTGGTAATGCTAAAAGCATTATTGATCAGCAAAATCAAGATCGTGCCATGGAGTTTCTTCAAGGACTCCATGATCGTTTTTCAGCAATTCGCAGTCAAATTCTCTTGATGGAACCGTTCCCCTCAATTCAACGTATCCACAATTTGGTACGTCAAGAAGAAAAACAGTAAGAGATTAATATTCGAACAACTTCTACCATTGATTCGGCAGCGTTTCAGGCGTTTAATCCACCTTCTCGGCTATCGGGAAAGCGTCAACGTCCTTTTTGTGAACATTGTAACAAGCATGGTCATACTCTTGCCACATGCTACCAAATTCATGGCTTTCCAGATAAGCAGGTGAAGAAATCAGGGCCACCTCCATCCACTTCCGCTACTAATCAATTAACACCTGAACAATACAACAAGCTTCTTGCCCTTTTATCCAAAGAGGAATCTGGTGGATCATCAGTCCATTTGGCAGGTACAATTCTCACTTGTTTGTCCTCTTGTTGGATTATTGATTCAGGGGCTTCTAATCATATATGTACATCTCTTTCATTTTTTTCTTCATATTTTACTGTTCATAAAAGTATGGCAGTTCAATTGCCTGATGGTTCTCATGCGCCTGTGACACACATAGGCACAGTTCATTGTTCACCATCACTTATTCTGACTAATGTTTTCCACATTCCATCTTTCAAATTCAATTTGTTATCTATTTCACAATTAACAAATTCAACAAATTGTGATGTATTCTTTTCATCTTCTGAATGTATATTTCAGGACCGAGCAACGAAGAAGAAGATTGGTCGGGGTAGTGCTTGAAATGGTCTTTTTTATCTAGATGCAGATTTAGTTTTTAATTCTGCTTTCTCATTCAAGCATTGTAATAAATTTGACCTATGGCATTCTCGCCTTGGTCATCCATCTAGGTCTCGTTTTGATTTCATTGTTAAGAATTTTCCCATTATTATTGCGAATAAAGATTTTGTTTGTGATGTATGTCCGCGTGCGAAGCAGCCGCGTCTTTCTTTCCCTCAAAAATCATCTTGTTCTTCTCATTGCTTTGAATTAATTCATGTTGACATTTGGGGTCCCTTTTCTATTCCGTCCAAAAATGGATCACGTTTCTTTTTAACTATTGTTGATGATTATTCAAGGTGTACTTGGATTTATTTAATGAAACATAAATCTGAAACCTTCAAAATGTTGATTCATTTTTTTAATCAAATCAATCGTCAATTCAACACAAAAATTTCTCGTATCAACTCTGGTAATGGGAAGATTTTTCTTCCTCAACTTCAAATCATTCGTTCAGACAATGGTGCTGAATTTCTTTCAAAACAAATTCAAACATGGTTTCATGAAAATGGTATTATTCACCAACGTAGTTGCATTGCGACCCCCCAACAAAATGGTATTGTAGAACGTAAGCATCGACATCTCCTTGATGTTGCTAGAGCTCTACGATTTCAAGCAAAATTGCCTCTTTCTTTTTGGGGTGAATGTATTCTCACTGCCGCCTTTCTTATCAACAAGCTTCCAACCCCGATCCTCAAATATGAATCACCTCATCAACTTTTACTTGGAACTGTTCCTTCATACTCGTCTCTTCGAGTTTTCGGATGTTTATGTTTTGCTAAAAATATGAATATTCAACATAAGTTTGATGAGCGAGCCAAACCCGGTATTTTTGTTGGTTATCCATATGGTCAAAAAGGATATCGCATATATGATTGCAAAACTCATCAAATCTATGTTTCTCGTGACGTTATATTTCATGAGTCAATTTTTCCATACCGCGATCTTCCATCTCAATCATTTAAAAATTCAATTACTATTACTCCAATTAATGATGATGGCACTTTTGACTACACTAAACCACCTATTGTTCCCACCAATATTCCTTCTAGTAATTCTATCCCTCATAATCTAGTTGATTATTCCAGTGATTCTCCACTTGATGACACACCCAATTCTCCACCTATTTCTATGGATGATCCCTCTAATAATTCTCCTTCAACGGCACCTAGTCCTCAGCTTGATAATTCACCCAACTCTCAACCTATTTTCGAGGACACTCATACTTCTCCTCCAATAGCACTTGGTTCTATAATTAATAATCATTCTCAACGAATTCGTCGTCCACCAGGTCATCTCAAAGATTATATTTGTAACCATATTTCACCTTCAACTGATTTTCCACTAGCCAATTATTTTTCTTTGTCCCATCTAAGTCATTCTCATTGTGCTTTTCTAACAAATATTATTGAACATCAAGAACCACGCTCTTATTCTCAAGCCATGAAATCTAGTGAATGGCGCGATGCCATGGCCCAAGAAATTCAGGCCATTGAATTAAATAATATTTGGTCTTTATGCTCACTTCCCCAGGGAAAATCACCCGTTGGTTGTAAATGGGTCTACAAAATTAAATATCGATCAGATGGTTCAATTGAGAGATATAAAGCTCGTTTAGTTGCCAAAGGTTATACTCAAGTTGAAGGAATCGACTATCATGATACCTTCGCACCTGTGGCCAAACTAGTCACTGTCCGTCTCCTACTCTCCATTGCTGTTATTAAAAATTGGTCTCTACATCAACTCGATGTCAACAATGCATTTCTCCAAGGAGATCTTAATGAGGAAGTTTATATGAAACTTCCTCCCAGTTTCTCTCGTAAAGGGGACACTTGTGTATGCAAATTAAATAAATCCATCTATAGTCTCAAACAAGCTTCTCGTCAATGGTTCTCTAAATTCTCAACCACTCTTATTCATCGAGGTTTTCGACAATCTGTTGCAGACTACAGTCTTTTTATATATATTCATGATCAGACTTCTATTTTTGTTCTCGTCTATGTCGATGATATTATTATCACTGGCAATAATGATGATGCCATCGCTGAAATTAAACAATTTCTCGCTCAATCTTTTTCTGTAAAAGATCTTGGCAATCTTCGATATTTTTTAGGTATTGAAGTGTCTCGATCTAAACAAGGAATTTTTCTATGTCAAAGAAAATATACCCTTAACATCTTATCTGATTCTGGTATGACTGGTTCTCGAACATCTGATTTTCCTATGGAACAACATCTTCGTTTACGACCAGAGGATGGTACTCCTGTCCCTGATCCGACAATCTATCGTCGACTGGTGGGACGTCTTTTATATCTTACTGTCACACGACCAGATATACAATATGCTGTAAACACACTTAGTCAATTCATGCAATTTCCTCATTCGACTCATCTTGATGCTGCCAACCGAATTCTTCGTTATCTTAAAGGTACTGTTGGTAAAGGATTATTCCTTTCTGCATCTAGCTCTCTTACTTTTGTTGGATATGCTGACTCTGACTGGGCCGGTTGTCCTACTACACGTCGATCCACCACTGGTTATTTTACCATGTTAGGTTCTAGTCCTATTTCATGGAAAACCAAGAAACAACCAACTATTTCTCGTTCTTCTGCAGAAGCAGAATATCGTTCTCTCGCTGCACTTACTTCTGAGTTGCAATGGTTAAAATATCTTCT